GTGTTTGTGTTCAAAAATGTAATAGTTATTTCTGAGGTGGGCAAGTGAATAAATGAATAAAAATTATTTCTTTCACAATTTTGTTGATGATACACAAAAATTAAATAAGAATGGTTACACTTTATTGTGAGCACCTTGAAGACCAAATCTATGTCTCCTCCATCTTTGTTGCCTCCAACTTGCAACATCTAGCATATAGAAGTTCTTTGATAAATACATACAAAATAAAAGATGACTTGGTACAGTTTAGATTTAGCAGTAGATGTCCCATCTAGGCAACATAGTAGCATTTGCGTGTCACTATCAAACATTTCTTCTACTTGTATTATAATATGTTGAGCCCAGAGTTGAGCTATAAAAATATTTCTTATGGTAATCTTTTGGCTAATGGAAACAAAATCACTGTTATCATGACAATTTCCAGCAAATAGAAAAACACAGCTTGTTCTAATGAAGTCAACATAACTCATTCAGTTGTATCATATGGAAATGAAGTCAATGATAGTGAGACAGTGTTGGTAAGGATGTATAATATAATCTGTGCTTTTCAACAAAGATTTGCTTTTCTGACTTCTGTACTCAGTAGATAACTTTAAAGAATAATTTATGACAAGTCATAGTGGCTCATTACCCTTGTTATCCTAGTAATTTAGGAGGCAAAGGCAGAAGAATAACTTGAGGCCAAGAGTTCAAGACCAGCCTCAATAATAAGAAAGGTCCCTGTCTCTACCAAAAAAAAAAAAAAAAAAAAGAAAACATTATCTAGGCATGGTGGCTCACACCTATAGACCCAGCTACAGGAGGCTGAGGTAGGAGGATTGCTTAGCCTAGGAGTTTGAGGTTCCAGTGAACTAAAAGGATGCCACTGCACCCTAGTCCAGGCAACAGAGTGAGATTTTGTCTCCAAAATAATAAATACAATAACATTCTCCTATTGGTATTACTGTATACTGGCTATATTTTGTAGTTCTTATTACCATGTAGTTTATATTACCAGAAAGGTAGTTTGAGTTCCCAATTTTAAAATGGTTACTTTTTTTGTGACACAAATCCATATATAATATAGTTTCATATTGATGCTTTAACAGGGGTTTGAACTGCAAGGGTCCACTCATATGCAGATTTTCTTCTGACTCTGTCACCAAGAGACAGCAAGAACAACCTCTCTTATTTTTCCTCTTCATCAGCCTACTCAATGTGAAGACAAAGAGGATGAAGCTTTTCACTAGATTACTTCATTGTAAGAATTCAACACATAAGAAATACAACATACAAACTATTTGTTAATTGATTGTTCAGGTTATCCTAAGGATTCCAGGGTACAGCAGGCTATTAGTAAAGTTTGGGAAAGTAAAATATTATAAGCATATTTTTAACTGAAAGGGGGATTGGCACCCCTAAACCTTACATGGCTCAGGATCAACCATAATTAATATGCACTAAATGCAAGCCACTTACTATAAAAATTAAATAGAAAACCCATTCTTACAATAAGTGCAATTTGTGAAAATGTGACTGTAGAGGAAATATGAAACATATGAACTTAAAAATCATTTTTCTCATTTAGATAAAAATATCAAAAGTAATTCTAGGAACTATAGTTAAATAAATTAATTTTTTCCAGACAATACCTTGAGATTGTAAATTACCTACACCTAACCTTTAAAAAAAATTCTGAATTCTAGGCTATTAAAAAATAAATCAAGAAAAAATATATGCACAATTTACACACTTTTTCAACTGTTCTTTTGTGCTTAAAACTTCATTACTCTTACTTTTGTTTCTATGGTTGGACCAACAAGAGGCCTTCACAGTTAAATCTTACCTAGATGGGTGGCACCTTTTGCTAAGTGGGTAGGGTGCCAGTCCCATGTACCAAGGCTGGTGGGTTCAGGCCCAGCCCCAGCCAAACTGCAACAAGAAAATAGCCGGGCACTGCGGCAGGTGCCTGTAGTCTCAGCTACTGGGGAGGCTGAGGCTAGAGAATCATCTAAGCCCAGGAATTGGAGGTTGCTGTGAGCTGTGTGACACCACGGCACTCTACCGAGGGCAATTAAGTGAGACTCTGTCTCTACAAAAAGAAAGAAAAAAAAAGAATCTTACCTGGATCATTACTTTGAGGATTTTCAGGCACCTTTTCTTCTGTATGTTCTGAAATTTGTTGAATAATGCTATGTACAAATAATGTAATTGATAAAATTACTATTTTAATACTAATATAAAAAATTGATAAATTTAATTCTTAAGAGTATTTGAGATAATATCAGAGCTAAAATCAGAACTTCAATAATCCCATACACCCCAAATCCATAAGCTTGACAAACTCTTATTAAACTTCAGGAAGAAAGTTCCTAAATTTTCTTCAGGAAGAAAGTTTTTAAAACTTCCTAAATTCAGGAAGAAAAAGAGTAAGTTGAAGTACTCATGAAGGTAAGGCAGTGTGGATCAGTCAATCAGCTAGGCTAGAGGTTGTTTGACCATGATGGAAAGTGTCCTGAACTTGGAAGAAGTCCTATTTCTGTAAGCACAGCTATTTGTTCTTGGACAAGTTGCTTCTGTTAGGTCCACTGCCTTCTTCTGAAAATAAGGATTTTACTGCGTTAGCTCACTAGATTCTTAATAAACATTTAATGAAATAACATTTTTATAAGGCTTGGGGAAATAGGGAAGCAATGGAATAATCTGTTCTTGAACTTTATTTTTATTTATTTATTTTTTGCAGTTTTTGGCAGGGGCTGGGTTTGAACCTGCCACCTCTGGCTTATGGGGCCAGCGGTTCTTTTTTTTTTTTCTTTTCTTTTTTAAGGATAAAAAACATTTATTGTTCTTGTTAATTTTCAACATGTACACCATCATTACCAATAAAAAGGATGATATGATTCTGTAGCTCTTGGAAAACATTTTCAAGCTGATTTTCAGCAATACCAGCAATCACATCTGTTATACTAGCTTTCAAGTCTTCAAAAGATTGAGATTTGGTTGAATAAACATTAGTTTTCACATGTCCCCATAAAAAGAAACCCAATGGAATTCAATCTGGCCAATGTGGAGGCCAGGAAAATGGTCCGCCTTTTCCAATTCATCTGTCAGGGAATTTCTCATGTAAAAACTATCTAACATGCAAAGCAACACAAAAAGCATCATCATCTTTTTTTTCTTTTGAGACAGAGCCTCAAGCTGTCCCCCTGGGTAGAGTGCTGTGGCATCACAGCTCACAGCAACCTCCAACTCCTGGGCTCAAGCGAGTCTCCTGCCTCAGCCTCCGACATAGCTGGGACTACAGGCACTCACCACAATGCCTGGCTATTTTTTTGGTTGCAGCCATTCTTGTTGTTTGGCCTGCCCAGGCTGGATTCAAACCACCACCTTACGTGTATGTGGCTGGTGCCTTAGCCACTTGAGCGACAGGCGCAGAGCGAGCATCATCATCATGTTGAAACACTATATTCTCTATCAGTCCTAATTCTTCAAGCTGAGGAATAAATAATTTTGCAGCATTTCTAAACAGCTATCACCATCAACACTCCCTTCAAAAAAGAAGGGCCCTGGGCGGCACCTGTGGCTCACAAGGGTAGGGCACTGACCCCATATGCTGGAAATGGCAGGTTCAAACCTAGCCCCAGCCAAAAAAGGGCCCCATGACTGATTTTTGCCCAAAGCACACGACACATTAACTTTGGGAGAATCTCTTTTACATTCAACAGACTAATGTGGATTTTCAATTCCCCAAATATAGCAATTATGCCTGTGGACTTCGCCACTAATGTGGAATGTTGCTTCATCGGAGAACATTACTCAACATTACTCATTAGTCATGATAATCTTCTTCTAACATTTGATGCACTTGAATTTTGTAGGTATGCTTTCATGTGAAATCTTGTCCGCAGAAATTTCTGTACAGTAGACTTTAGAAACCTCAGCGCTAAGGATACCTGTCTTAATGACATTCTTGGACTTGCCTGAAAGGTTTCTTCTACAGATGCTACAGTTCCTTCACTAACATGTGGCCTCCCAGACTGTGGCTTATCATAGGCAGAGCCTGTTTCTTTCAATTTTTCCCTCCACTTTGATGTGGAATTTCTGTGTGGTGCTTCTTTCTTGTAATGGGTTCTAAACCTTCTTTGGACAGCAGCAGCAGATTTTAGTTGAACCAACCAAAGAACAAAACTTTCTTTCTCTTCTAGTGAAGCCATAGGTCAGTGATTAAAGTCAAACTATTTCAAATTGCAGAACTTTATGGACACCCTGTACAGTTCTTTCCTCAAGAGTTACTGGAATCATTAGGAAATTCCCAGGAGTTACTGAAATCATTAGCGAATTCTCAGGAGTTACTGGAATCATTAGCTTATTCGGATCACAAAAGTGGAAACTGCAAACCAGTTTCCAAAAGCAGGGGGCCAGCAGTTCTTGAACTTTATTGATGAAACTACTTTGGAAAGCCAAACAGAACCCAATTGTGTATTTCCATAGGCTCTAATATTCAAATGTCAAAGTTTCCAGAAAATGTTCATAAGTCTTAATTTTGGTCATTAGTAGTTCTATCCTTTGTGGTTTGTCATTCAGGTCATATCAGCTATTTCATAATTTTAATGAAATTTATAATTATCCTCTACTATGAGCTAATCAATCACAGCAAGAGTAGAAAACTAATAGATGTCAAGACCTGACTTGGAATACTACCCTTCCTTCTGTATCTACTCAAACTCTGAACCAACAGATCTTTGTTAGAATAATGCTTAATCTCCTTGTTCATCTCCAAGTGATGTAAAAGGTAAAACCCTAATTTTATTTAAGTTTGACAGAGGAGATGCAAGTTGACACTATTTCATTTCTGAGATGAGTACTAACAACATATTTACACACAACATTCCCCAGGTTACTCAGTTCCACTGTCATTTCATAGATCACCTTTTTTTGAAAAGCACAATTTTAATATTGAGTGGACTATATCTTGGAGCTAGTTAGCAAATAGGCAAATGACAGGGACTTCAGGGACTTCACAAAATATGGAACACTTCACCAGTCTGCATGTCTACCTTGGGCAAGAACCATGCTAATCTTCTCTGCGTTGTCCCAATTTTAGTACATATGCTGTCAAAGCAAGCATAAAGCTTTCCTTATCTGTGGATACTGATGAGTCATGGATGAGGGTTTTCCCTACTAAATCCAACTACCCTAAACTTAGAATCAGAGAATTCTTTTGAATGGTTTTCTTGTGAGGCAGAATTTGAAAATAATTCTAAAATGTGATGTACAAACTCAAGTAGCTTGGGACATTTTCATTATTATGAAAAACTGATCACTTGGTGGGCCAACTATAAGTTGGTGCCCACAACTTTGGGGAGGGACAATAGGGGAATCTTCACTGCCTAAGGAAAGGTGCTTCACAGGATAGACAGGAGCTTCAGGGTACAGATATGGTAGCAAAGAAGTAAGGACATTCTGGTCTCTCCCTTTAACATTTAGGGAACCTCTCTAACACTTTAAAACAATCACAACTACTACTTGCTAGAAAAAAGATAAGGGTCTCAAGAATAACTTACCATGAAGGTCCAGGGTAACTCTAGGCTAAGATAAGGTCTCTACACAAGGTCTTGAGTGTGAAGGAGGGGTCAGTTTGCTCACTACATGTGTGGCTAAAGCCAGGAGGCCTGGCTGACAGAGCAGGGTACTGGTGCTTTGGGAAAGAAGGCTGAGCATATAAGCATTCAAATGTGAACTAAGAAAAGCTGTAACTTTGATGTCTTAAGTATATATCACTATGAAGATGAAAGTATCTGGATCAGCAATTACATCTTGGTACAAAGGTCAATCATTACCAGACTGCAAGAGCAGTTTCAATAGCAACAATGCAAGAACAGAAGCAACAGAAACGACAAAATGAAATGTCCTTTATTCTTCTCCTTTTTTCAATTTTTTTGTTTTTTTGTAGAGACATGGTCTCACGCTGTCACCCAGGCTAGGATGCAGTGGCATGACCATACCTTTGTATAGCACCCAAACTCCTTGGATCAAGAGATACTCCTGATTCAGCCTCCTGAGTAGCTAGAAAAGCAGATACATACCACCATCCATGGCTGATTTTTTTTTTTTTTTTGGAGATAAAATCTAGCTATGTTACCCAGGCTGGTCTTGAACCCTTTCCTCAATTGATCCTCCTGCCTCACCTTCCCACAGTGCTAGGATTATAGGCAGGAGTTGTCACACCCAGTTTTCCCTCTTGACTTATAAGGGCTGCCTTCCTTGCACTTAGAGAATCCCCCAGTTTTTTGAAAATTCAAGCAGGAAGGTAGAGAGGACATACCCACAGGGAAGAGTAAAAGAGTTTCTACTAAACTGGACATTTCAAGACCCAAATAACAAATTAGTAAAATCAAACATGTGACATGCTTTTTCTCCCTATGAATAGAGGTTATATTTGGAATGAAAAGTACAATGCTGGGCTCCTTCGTAAGGATGAGATAAAGAATCTTGCAGCCATTGCTACTTCTAACTAGTCTAGCCATTTGTTTGATTTCTGGTTGATGAAGCAGACCAAGTCAGTGTCATTCCAAAACTACCTGAACCAAACTATGAAATCTCACCTGACATATATGATAACAATGGTTTTGATTATGCTAAAATTCAATTTAGCATTAACTAATTTTTTCATGTAAACACTTGCCTGTTAACACCACTAGCAACAGCACAATCTTTTGCAGTCTGTCCTGAGAGATTTTTACAAGAGACATCAAGATGTTGTTGAAGAAGACTGACTATATGTTCATCTGTTGCAAGCATAAGGACATTTCTAAAATAACAGAGAAATAATGTCACCCTTTGGACTTTAATAAAGTTACTTTAAAGGCTAATTTGTTATGCTTTACCCATTTAATATCTAGCCTGTCAATGTAGAATAACCATTGACACATACTAATAGACATAGCTGTCTTTGGTGCTCAGATTTTTATCTTTGTAAAAGGAAGGGACCAAGAAAACTCTCTTGTCCAGTATGGGTATGAAGAATTCTCCCTGTCTTCCCTAGTCTCATATAATGCATTGTAATTCAAAGTCACCAGATTAGTCAACGGATAAGTAAGAACTATCCATAGGCTAAAAACAATAACACGAATAACGTTGGGTAATAATAGCAGTCATAACAGTTTCAGCCAGTACTTCTGATAAGCACATGCTAGTCAGTGAATTAAATGTTCTATATGTATAATCTTACTTACAAACAATCACACTGGAAAGATATATTATTATCCTTTTCATATCAGAAAACATATTTGGTAATACGTCATATTCCCAAGGCCACACACCTAGTGAGTGGGGACGTCAGGAATTAATCCCAGTCTTGTGTGAATCTAAAGCTTCTCTCTTTTTGTTGCCCATCTATGGTTTGTCTTCATTAAATAAAAAGTTTATACAATTTAAGCTTTCTTCCCTTTGCCTGTAATGATCAAAATACCACTAGAAATGAAAAATGAAAACACTTACAAACTATTAATAGCAACTAATAATCCTTCACAGATAAGCTAACATCAATATTCCTCAGAGTAAGCAATGTAAAGCAAAGAGACATCCAAGAGACAAAATAATGTTCAACTATAATTTATATTTACCATAGAGCCTTTTAAAAGAAATATATAAGAAACAGAGACTTAAAAATACTATAAAAGTGCTTAAAAGTTCAATATTGAGTCAGACAGTGAAACTAAAAGTTAAAGGCCACACTTTATGAGATTATGAAAACTAAAATGAAACCCCTTTAGCTAATATAATGTCATATGACCAAAAACATCAGATTAGAAATAAGTAAACATCAGTCACTATTATAAGAGAAAATGAATGCTACTATATTCCTTATGTTACCTGGTCCAAATAATTGCTATTCTACCTAACTGATGATTTGTGTTCATATTTTTCACTATATCCCAATAATTACAATTTAATCATTTCATTACTTCAGCATTTCTTTTTCTTCCCCCAGATTAATGTGAAAGCACAAACAACTAAGTTATAATGGTTTTTTTACTTTAACATTTCTGACTTGAGTGACTATTACCACTCTAAACTACCACTCAGGTTTATAAAAACAAAAAAGAACTAACCACTGTACCTTTTTGATTTATCAACTTCATTTATGTTAGCTCTCTTCTTTAGTAAAAACTCCACCATTTTCTCTTTGCTTTTACTTACAGCAAGTAAAAGTGGTGTGATGTGACTCTGGAATACAGCAAAAACAATTCATCATTCACAAAATTACATATTTCTTAATGGAACTGAAAACCTTCTAAAAGAGCCTGTGAACCTAAACATAGCACACAAAGTAAATCAAAGGTACTCCCTCCTTCTCACCTCTCTGTACCTCCCCATGTGCTGCTCCCTACCTGGGAAACACCCTTGCCTTCTGCCACTCCACATCACCTCCTGCCATCTCCAATAGTCACTTCAAACATTCATGGGCTCCAAGGTCCTCTGCCTCTATCACAGCATCTTGTGCTGTGATTATTCTGTACTTCCCATCCACACCAAGAGCTTCCTGAGGGCAGAGGTTGTACCTTTTATTTCCACATCCCCAAACCCTAGGACATAGTAGGAAATATTTTTAAGTATTTTTATTTTTTTTACTTTTATATGTTTGTTGGCTTTTTCTCCTCATAACTTGAAAACAAAAACAGCACATGAAAACCAGTGTATTATCCCAAAGTTTCAACTCAGGTGATTGCCTCAGAAAGGCCAAAACATCACCATCTTGTTCCTCTGAATAACCAACTGTGCAGCCTCAAACTACATAGCAAGTTCAAGTTTCTGTCCACACCAAGATATATCCAATAATTAAATTAAAGCCTTGCTGCCACTTCTGAGGGCTCTGGCTCTCTGCCTGTCATATCTCTCAGCACTTTTCCCACATGTTACGACTGGGTCTTCCTGATGGCTCTCTGGGTTGTCAAGGCTGAGCTGGATAGAAAAGTGCAGTCTAGATCCACAATCATCTCCCACTGGTCACCAGATGGCCAGTCAGGAAATCATTTCCATACAGTCTTTTGTCTCCACGATGTATCTCCCTCTCCCTTCTCTAGGACTTGTTGCTATTAGTCTCCGTAATAACAGATTCAGTGTCCATTAATCTGCCTAAGAAGTGGTTTGTGTTTGAGCCTGACGTACTTTCCCGAGCTAAAAGAGAAAACAAAGTACTTCTGTGGCCTCCCTGCCATTAAGAATAAGTAAAAAAGGGAAAAGCATACTGAGAAGGATAACATTAGTAAAGCAATAGACTTTCCTCCCCACCCCTATGGAGTTTTCTCTAGCTCTAGCTCTTGAGGTTATGAGACAAATATTCTGGGATCAAGGAGGTATTAATATAATGGGAGAGGGGCACATTTATTTCCCCCTTTTGAACTTCCCACCATCCTTGTCTTTGTCTTCTTCTTAGTGGATCCCCTGGGTTCTGTCTCCTTGAGCTTAGCAGAAGAAAGCAAGCCAGTCACCTTGAAGAAATCATCTAGGTGGCCCTAGGTGATGCCTTGTTGGCTCTTGCTCAGTGGCTTGACCCCATTGAGGATTTGCTCCTCAGAGAACTGCTTTTCACCACACATGAACTTGACCAGCTCTTCTTCATTTGGCTTGCTCCACTTCAGCTCCACAGATTCTAGGTCCTGCCCTTCAGGTTTCAAGAAGAGCTGATGGGCCTCCTTGTGGAGCCAATTTTCTGATATGGGGTACTTGTTGGGGTCAAGCCACCTCACCATCTCCTCGATGCTCTTATGCTTCTGGATGAGATTCACAGCCCACTTGGGCTCAATGCCCCAGATACTCTCACAGTAGTCACTGCCCAGCAGGATGCACAGATCCACAAACTGCTCCTGGTTCAGGCCCAGCTCCTGCAGAATCCAGTTCAGATGGAATTCCTGGATGGGTAGCTACTTGGCCTCACTGGCAGTCGATGTCACATTAGCACAGGGCTGCCAAAGGTGAGGCAGTCCATGTCCTTGGTGGCCACAGCATAGACTTTGCCAGCATTCGCCAGGGCAGCACAGCTGGCCTCTGCCTCACAGGGTGCATCAAGGTATGGTATGCCCATGAGGCTCAACAGATGTTTGCATTCATCATTGTGTTGCTTAG